AGAGCGCATAGTCGTTACACCACTGTACATCGGGAAACAATTTCCTACTCATTTCCAATTAGTATACTGCGTTCTTTAACGTGCACACAGGCCATAATGCACACGGAACCAACAGGTTAAATGTCTCACCCGAAAGACGGTGCGCTATCGTAACTTGCATTTCAGCCCTCCAACTGAAATACAAGGAAGAGCAGTGATGGGAATTCAATACACTACCTCATTCCTAAAGCCCCTTCCAATTTCCATCTTAGAAAACTTAAATAATTTATCCTCCAAAAGGCTGGAAAGGACTCCCTGTACAGGCGAATGCTTTGTTCATTTTTAACTCAGTAATTAAAATAACTATAATAATCTCACTACAATAATTATAATTACAATAATAATAATAATAATAATAATAATAATAATAATAATAATAATTTTAATATAGATTGCCTTTTTGCCCTTTAAACCTGTTTCCTTTTGCTGTTACTGTGATGTGTGTCTATTTGTTGAAAAATGTTTAAATGTTGATTGTTTAGATTTTTCTGCTTGAACCCTTTACTTATGTAATATTCAACCCATTTTGAGTGATGAATAAAGGATGATTTGATTTTATGTGAATCGGAGACCCAGAGATCCCCACGTTTTAGCGCACGCAGAGGCTACCACCAGTTTAGGCAACTGAGAAGCTACTACCTGGTTATAAATCTATAAGGTACCATTCCAATATTTAATAATAGGCTCTAATACAGTAACACTATTAAAATTCAGAGACGGACAAAAATTTACTTTCGCCATAATATATTGTACAGTAAGCCTACGACTTCTGGATCACTTTTCTTCAGGTCATCTAATAGGCTTGAAAATATCAATATAAAGACGTTTGAGTAACAAAATTCATTGATTGTTTTTAATAAAGTGTTACTTTAGTACCAAAAAATATGTTGCTCTGAAACATGATAAGGCCAATCTGAATAAAATGACCCGATCGTCCCCTATCGTCCTTTAAGGTCCAATTGATGATGTTGCAGGCGTTTATCATCCGAATATCTGAATTATTAGTAGGCCTTTAATGTATACATTATTTTAATCGATTTCAACATGCTGTGTATAATGTTTAATAATAGGCCTACTATGATGGATAACCATGTATTTTATTCTTTATTTACTGACATGTTTAAAGTCGGAGGCGGACTTTAAGGTGGGTACGGTAGTTATGCAGCCGTCCGTGGCACATACATTTTTTTTTTAAATTAAAAGAAAATATTTTGTCAAAAGCGGTTGTATTATTAGATTGCTCGGTAGTAGTAAGTAGGGGCCCATCGCCTTTCAGGGACTCATTTGGACATGGAGGAAGTAAGCGTTTCCCTAGAAAGCACACATGCATTACATAACTGGTCAAACCTCCATAGTAGGGCATCCAGGGGCATAGTTTAAAGAACCCCTTCTAATAAATCTGCCAAATATTGTGTTTGTGGGATTTTGGTCTATTTGGTTTTTTCGGAAATTATAGAAAATGTTACGTATTGTTAAGGCGTTAGGAGAGTGCTGAGTATCAGTGTTACTGTAAGCAAAAGTATCTAACCCTCTCCAGGGCCCATTTGGACTCGGACTTCGCCCAGAAAGCACATGCGTTACTTAAGGCTTGGTAGTAATGTGTTAGGTAGTAGTAGGAGCGCCAGTTCCCCCCCCCCCGCCATCCGAGAGCTCACGAGCTACGCAAATGGGTCCTGTTTATTTTAATATGATATGCCATAATTGGACTTTATGGGACAATACATGAAACACTACACCGTTTCTGATATATAAACTGCAATACATTATTCAGCATTGGAAGAGCTTTTCAACGATACCAAACACGACTACTTTTTGGTGAGTTTATATACTTATTCTTATTTTATACACATTTTAAATATATTTTGCGGATATTTTAAAACAAATAAACATCTATTTTTGAATTATGTTCCATTCTGGCATGAGTGACAGTAGTGTTTATATGTCTGGTTTGTTGCCTGTATAGAAATTATGATTTTAGACACCAACATCATATCTGTAGCTTATTTAGTTCCAATTATATGCACATTTTAGATAAATTTGGCGGCCATTTTTCAAAATGGCCGCCATTTGTATACCAGGTGAAAAACCAAGTGTCAACAGGGCTTAGGGTGACTAGGACCGATTAATTAGGATATCTGGCTATGTTGACTGCTTCTGACATTCCACTCCCCCTAACTTGATTTCTAGGCCTCTTTTTTGATTTTTTTTCCTAGTCTAGACCTGAAGTTTCATCACAAGTGATATACTTCTCATCGTTCCGGTTTTCTTTAATAAATATTCTTACTCGTCTACGACGGAAAAAAATGAACCGTCCCAAGTCTCCTTCAAGTTATTGGAGTGTCCCGGAAATCAGGACGGCATCCCGCACACAAACAACACAAGAATTTAATGGAAAATAACCCTCTTTCGCAAACTTATAATATTTGCACGTTTACGGAAGTCAGTGCCGATGGATATCACGTTACGCAGTAAAATGACATTAGTTTTGGTGTTTTAAAAACTCATTTAACCGGATCAAGTAAGGCACTTTATTAGTGTTTTTCACGTTATAATGACGTCATCATGCTTAGACAATAAGTCAAACAGCAAACCCAATACTGTTTCGGTATTTATAATGATGATATTTATGTCACACATTTCAACCACTGTCCAGACGTCCAACAGACTGCTACCGTTTGATGACGTATATTTCGTACAGTTTAGGAACTCTATTTATTCCTGGCACACACTCATTCGTTGATGGGGTGGGGCTACAATCGGGTACCACGAAAGTGAACCGATGCAAGAGATTAGCAGTGAAAAGAAAAAAGGTTCATTCTGGCTAAAAGTTCAATACACATTCTTCGACCTGAAAGAAAATCATATTAGAACTGAAAGACCCAAATGAAAGTAAGGTATTTGATCCACTATTTCATTCCAAGTTTTTTTCTGGCCAGGGGCGGATTTAGCGGGGGCACTGAAGTCTTTGTGCTTCAATTAGTTTTCAATTTGCATAAATACTGCGCCATGCGCAGTGCCATAACATAATAAATACATACCTGCGCCAAAAGGAATAAACGTCTCCTGCTTCTTTAACGTCTTGAGGTCGTTTTCTAAAAACCTCCCTGGCTCAAACTCAAACGGTCTTTCCCAGTGATTGGGATCATAGTGAACGCTCCATATGTTTGCTAATACCGTAATACCAGCGCGGATATTGTAGCCGTTTATTTCAACCTCTTCTGTGGTGTATTGTGGGAATGCTGAAACGATGTTGCCAATTCGCTGTACCTCCATTATTGTGGCTGCAAGGTATGGCATCGACTGACGATCACCCCATGCAGGTTTCTCTTCTTGACCTAGAAAGTCGTCTATTTATATTTAAACAAAACATTAACACGCATATTATTCAAATATTGGTCTACCTCCCGTCCTGTTGTTATTAATTATTTTTATGCACTAAAGAAAAGATAATAACATGTTATGATTTTTATTCAGTTACTACAACATTAACGTTCTAATCACGTTTTGCTAACCCTTTGTAGAAAAAATGTTCAACAAGTAAATATGTGCAATTGCGCATTCAATATGGTTCTCGATACAAATTAAACAAATAATAGGATGATTAAACACCTTACGAAAATGAATACGAATAACACATTATCATTGTCATCACTCGTGCCTAAAACATCCTTGACAACTCTGTAGGCCCACGAGCTGAATGATCCTTAATTCATTCAAAAGGCATGAATCGCCTACGACGTTGTGACGGATATTCTACTGTAGGGGAAGGGTTGTCTAAAAATTAGCTAACGTACCGTATTCGTTATTTTCGTAAGCGAAAAGTTCCTATTGATCATAATCACTGATGGAAATCTTCAAGTTACCTTTTTTTGAACTTCGGGGTAATTTACCAAATATAAAATCAGCCACATAATATATTATGTATTATATATACAAGCATACCGTCAACAAGCATTTTATATATATATATAAGTATATATATATATATATATATATATATATGTACGAACACAAAATCGTACTCAAGGTAAAAAAAAAATTAATTATTATAACCAAATCAAATTGTATATTTGTCCTTTTATGAATTAAAAATATATACTGAACTTTTATTTTAATATATACTGTACTTTATATTAAAATTAGCTAACGTACCGTATCGTATTCGATATTTTCGTAAGCGAAAACTTCCTATTGATCATAATCACTGATGAAAAACTTCAAGTTACCTTTTTTT